GGCCACAGAGGAGGGTCATCAACTGCAGAAGGAACCGCACTACCTTGTCTGGCCCAGTTTGCTCTGATACAGAGCAGCTCCAAGTCCAGTAAGACTTGCATCAGTATGCAGGATGAAAGGTTGGTTGAAGTCGGCATACGCAAGTGCTGGTGCTGTCATCAAGTGGGCAATCAAGGTCTCAATTAAAGGCTTTCTGACAGTCAGGGGTCCAGATGAAAGGTGGGGGATTCTGATGACGTGAGGGGCGTGCCTTACGCTTAGCGGGGAGGCCAATTGTAAGATCATGGAGGGGTTTTGCGATTTTGAAGTAGCCAGCAATGAAGCGTCTGTAATACCCAGCAAACCCAAGAAATGACCAGACCTCCTGGTGATTTGTGGGTGTTGGCCAACTCTCTAGTGCAGCAATCTTGTCAGGATCAGTCTCAACACCATCCGCTGAAATGACATGCCCAAGGTACTTGACAGAAGTACGGAGCAATTGACATTTGGACGGCTTCAGTTTCAATCCATGTTCCCGAGGACAGGCGAGTACTGACTGCAGACATTCGAGATGTTCTTCGAAAGTACGAGAAAAGACGATGACATCATCCAGATAAACAAGACATGTCTTCAGATTGAGGTCACCAACGCAGCATTCCATCAACCCCTGAAATGTTGCTGGTGCATTGGTGAGGCCGAATGGCATGCGGTTGGCTTCATAGAACCCAAGAGGGGTTGTGAATGCCGTCTTCGCCTTGTCTTCTTCTCGTACCTCGACTTGCCAGTAACCAGACTTCAGATCCAAGGATGAAAACCACTTAGCTCCAAGCAGGGCATCGAGAGTCTCCTCGATACGAGGGAGTGCATAGGCATCCCGGACGGTTCTCTCATTCAGTCTACGATAATCTATGCAGAACCGAAGGGAACCATCTTTCTTCCTTACAAAAACAACCGGGGATGCCCATGGCGAAGTAGACTCCCTGATTGCGCCTGCATCAAGCATATCTCGGATCAACTGCCTAACCTGACAGTGGAGCTGGGTGCTTCCAACTACCTGTCTCTGTTAATTGCAGTTCGGTGGTCAAGTCAATATAAATATTAACTTCATAAAATACTAACTACATGGATTCTTCATATAAGCAAAAGTGAAAATCCCTTTAAACAATAGGCAGTGTGTAACGTTGTCACGGTCACCAGTGCTGTTCAATGCCCTCTACCACTGGTGTGCGTACGTACGTAGGTTGGTCTTACCCAGAAGTGAGTAAGGTACCCCAAGAACATTATACCAAGACCAATGCCTCAGGCATGACAAGGTTACACCTGTTGCAATATAACACTTAAAACAATTCAGTGAATACGAATGACTCATAATAAGAAAGTAAAAGTTGACCAGGAGGGAAAATACGAATGTCCTGAATAATCAAATTAATCTTAAAACAAAAAGGAATATATAAGATGGAAAACTTGGATATAGAGAAAATAAAGAAAAGGCTAGCTACTGGAATAAACTAAGCTAAGATAAAAGACTACAATAGATATAACAAAATGAATACACTTATCAAATGATCAAAGAGAACTGTTACAAATATTTACAGAATTTGTACTTCGGAAATTATTCCTCTTTTCACTCTATCCAAAAGTAACTGGGAATGATTATCAGATGCTGATTGTCTTTTGGAGCATGCCAAAAAGTGAACTGAATAATCCATGGATATTTATAATAATAAATCATGATTTTTGGAAAAACTCTTCTTTCTGAAATAAAGTTCAACTTTATTTAGACTAGAGTCGCCACAAGTCTTTCGTACAAAAATGGCAAACCTTAGTACGTGAACTTTCAGATCAATCAAAGAAAACTCAAAACAATTTAGGGAATTGATCAATTTGGAATTTGTTCTACTTTCAGAGAACATGGTTACTTCTCAAATCAAGCTATGTGAAAATCAATGCATCAAACATCCAAAAAAAGATTGTGCTTGCTTCAAGAAATGACAACAACGAATCAATAAAAGAATGTCAACTGCAGTAAGAACTTCTCCAGTGGAAATTGGTCAAAGTTGGAATGTCCAAGAACTCAATATTCATCTATCAAGCTTAACAACTCTCTCAACTCAAAAATACAGTGATGGTATGAAAGGAACATAATAGTAATAATAACAACATGTGATGACTTGGTCTAAACTTTGAGTAAAGAATAAACACTTTAACCTAGGAGTAAAAGTACCGGTAATTAGATAAAAGTATTATCAAACTCACCTAGAGCAGGACAGAGGATGAATATATGAATATGGCAGGTTCAGTTGGAGGATTACAGAAGACAGTTTAAACAGTGAAGCTGGGTGCTTCCAACTACCTGTCTCTGTTATTTGCAGTTCGGTGGTCAAGTGAAGGGAAAGTTCACTGGCCACCGAATTTATACAGTTCCTCCTCAAGGACTTTTGTGGTTGGTTGCAAGTTCTGCTACCAACCGCCCACATGCGCTGCCAAGCAACCCACACATTTCTAAGAAAGTGCATGACCTAACTCTAGGGGACTTTAATAGGAATTCAAAAAAATGGCGGGCACAAAATTCATCCTTTTATAAATCTTTTGTTTGATTTCCCATCTGCAAATGGGTACCCATTTAAGAATGTCATTGAAGACAATGGATCAAAGAAGACAAATTTGAATAGTTTAAAGATGACAGACCACAAGTCAACAAAAAAAAATCCAAATTAAAGATGCTTGCCCCTTAAAAAAAGGAGGGAAAATGGTATTTGAACATGAGGCTAAGAATAAAAGTTACGGAATGCACAAAATAAGGACGATGTCATGAACTACACCTTGGAAAATTTCCTCATACTCGCTTGACGCAGTCCAATTTGAAAGTGTCGGGAATGGTGATCTCATTGAGCAGTACAGAGGATGGGTTGAAGGGGAAGGTGACAGGGAACGTGTACTTGGTGTCAATCAGGAGTGGTGCATCTTTCTTGGTGTTCATCCTTCCCGCTAGCTTGCTTCGCACCTTGCGGATGAAAGACACTTCAATCTTTTCCCAATAAGTGTTGGGCGTGAAGAGATTCAGGATCTTCACGACCTGTAAATTGAGGGGGGGGGGGCAAAACAGTTGGTTGCTTTGAATTAGTTTCATAAAGTATCAATCAATCAGAAATGTTATATTGGGATTTGATCTTCGCCGACATATATAAACACTGTACACTCAGTGATGTCCAAGGGCTTGCGAGATAAAATTCACAAGTTTAGTTGGGCGGGACTCGAACCAACAATCTCCAGCTTACTTGTGCAGATGTCCCCTCAACGGCCGACAAAAATTCCATCTTATTAAAAAACAACCAATTATGCTTTTGTGTTTGCCCTTCAATGGCGTAATAAAGAACCATTGTACACTCGATGTTTTACATGAGCTTGTTGGAAACGAAAATTACATGCTTCAGGTTGGACTCGAACCCATGACCTCCTGCGTACTAGTGCAGATGTCTTACCACTCAACCACTGAGCTTGCTCAGGTCAGCAGTGGGTGCCGCAACCAATAAGTTTTGATGGAATTTTTCACGTCACAGATATACTACAGATGTGAACTTAAGGGATGTAAAGTGAATTCTGACATATTTGTCTGAAATTTGAGGTGTAGACTAATCCGTGGCGACAGCCATTTTCTGCGGTGGCACCAGGCTCACTTGAGTCGCACTCAGGTAGTACGCACGCACTCCGGGCTCCTTTGACCAATAGGGTAAACAAAATGTATGTAAGCCTTGTCTTAAAGAACACGTGCAGGATGTGCGTGGTACCACCGCAGTAACAGCCTGTAATCCTGGTCGCCGGATACCACTATAAAGGAAAACTATACACACATGTATGGTACCAATACGTTATTTACAAATTGAAAAAAGCCTGAAATCAGGCAAGTGCAGGAGGATTTACATCCCTAGAATTCAAAATCAGGTGTTTTGTTTTCTCTTCATAGCCATAATTTTGAGATCAGTATGTTCAGAGCATATCAGGGGAAATTCCATTTCCCCTAATGCTTTAAAAAAAAAAAAACCAATCCCCTCTAAAATAATAATAATAAAAAAAAAAATCCCCCCTAAGAATAAAAATACAACAATTTATTAAAAAGAATCAACTATTAGTCACAAACAATCTGTTGGGTCAACAGAATGACTTCAAAAGAAAAACTCTTGAGCCTCTCTCATGACTCCAGGTTATTTTTGCTGGATCTAGCGGGAAAGCCTATTGCCCAATGAGTGAGTAACTAACTGACTCACTGAGTATAATTTCTTAAAGTGAGACATGTGGGTCCAACCCAACTATGTGTGGCAGTGCCAAGTTTTACTTGTGTATTTTTATAGTGTATTAAAATAGGAGTAGCTCCCCTTAGGAAAAAAAATCATTTTAGTTGAAGTTTAGATGTCCCCCCCCCCTCTTTGTTGGTAGTGTGACCCCTGTTTGTTTACTTCAGCCCACATGTTCCCCCTATAAAAGCTGCCACATGGTCAAGTCACACTTCAGTTCAGCCAGCAGACCAGCTGACAATAGACATACATGATATATTTTTCTCCTAACTGGAGTGCCTGTTCTGCTTGAAGTTAGTCTGTTACCGAGTCATTTGCTTTGACTTTATTCCTGCTTGAGTGTTCTTTGAAAGATCCACTATTCACACTGCGTTGGTTTTTGGTTGAAGTCTTTGGATTTTAGGTTTTATTCTTTGCTTTTAGTTTTTTTTTGGGGGGGGAAATAAATTCTTTTGGTCCTTTTTTGTTAGAAATCTAGAATTGGTCTCTGGTCTCTATTAATTCAATTTCCTCGCGACAGTTCCCTTCAAAGATCCCGAGTTTAGTTTAGTTTTGTTAGTTAATCCCCATAGAGTCTTAGTTTGTGCGAGTTCCCCACATATGCAAGAACAGTCTTTATTTAGTCTCACTTTTCTCAGTTTTCACACACTTTTAAACTTCAAGACATCAAAAGCATACCTGTGTTGTAGTGAGTTTCGTGCAGGTTTTGCAGATGTTCCTGACGTCGGCTTCCGTTGTCTTCTCGGCTTGAAGCAGTTGAGCTATCTGGACCAGGGGCTCCAACGTCTCCTCCATGCTGTGATCGTAGAGTTTGCTGCTCTGTAGCCACTTTTCCAACTCACTCACAATGTACCTAAGCCCATTGAAAATGGTAATAAAGTTAAGCAGCATTTCATAAAACTGCTGAAAAATATAACATTTGTCTTTCAAGAACACAATAAGGACACCAAAATCACCATTTTTATGCCCACGTTTTTTTTAAAGAGAGTTTTGTGGTCCTTGCTCATGAGGGTTTGTAGCAAGTACAGCTCCAGGATCTTATCCAGATTTGAACTTTAATTCCTGAGAAAACTTAATTGGATGAAATTGGACCTGAAACCCCTCTATTTTGCAATGGAGTCAATCAATCATTTTCAAAATTGTGATAGACTTCACGACTGCTTTTAGGGGTGGTCATCTTTCAAGAATAATATCAAAAGTCATTGGTCAACCCCACCAAAATTTAAAGTAAAAGATGGTGAACCACGTTTTGCTTTGCTGTATTTCTTAAACACCTTAGAGAGTAGATTTTTTTGAAGTGGTAATGTATTTACTGGTCTACACCCTGGTGGGAGCCAGTATAGGGGCAGGTCTCACCAACATTGACTTACCTGATCTGGACACCCTTGGCCCCAAAACACCTGTCCTTCCACAGCAGCATGTCGTTGATATAATTAGCGGTTACTAAGTACAAGGACTGTAGTAACGACAGAGAAAAAAATACTGCAAGTGAGACTTGCGCAATTCCCCCTGGCATGCTGGCAGTTTTTATAAAGTCAGTGTCCGTAACCAAAATGGAAGATTTCTATTATTTTAGCAATAGTGACCTTGACCTTTGATCTGTCGGCCCAAAATCAATAGGCTTGTTAAGACTATCAAAAACAATCCACAAACCAAGTTTCAAGATCCTAAGTCATTTGTTCCCCTTCCCTTTTCCTTTGTTTGTACTGTCTCTTTGTTTGTTACTTTTTCGCAACAGCTCTCATTGGTTTTGTACACGTTTTCCAACCAAGGAAGCTTCGATATGGTTTCTGACGTCGATTCATCGATGATGTTGCACGTGTGTGTCCTCGATTTACACCATAAACACGCGCAGTTGTGTTTTACTATACTCTCAAAGACAATGCTTTCCATTTCCCTTTGTCCCTGTAATATAACACTCCCCCATAGACTAAGCACATAACCGTACCATAGAGGACCGTTTTAAACAAAAAAACCACGTACAGCCCGAAGACTAAATTTAAAGAATCTGTTGTTCTCCCTTTGTGTGTCGGTCCTCGTGGGTTATGTAGAACACGTAAACACACACATACATACAGACATACACACAGAAGGAATACGCTATCGCAATATCCCCCTCCGGCTTACAGCAGGGGTGTGAGTGACCACAGATAAAAATAGCTGAAAACAGCTGAAAAAGGTGTAAAAAGGCTGAATTTTGGAGATCTACTATACTTTTGTACACAGCAAGTGAGGGGAAAAGCTGAAATCCAAAACCCCAAAAAAGCTGAAATCAGCTTTTAAGCTGAGATTTCACACCCCTGTTACAACCAAGGGGGTAAAAAGGAACTATGAATACGAAAAAATGTCATAGAGAAATACACTTTGAATCTTTGTAATTCTTCAACTTGTTTTGTGCTTCAGTTTTTTTCTATGCAAGACTCGAGTCTGGGACTTGGACACATATTAAAGGTCAATTTTCAACAACAAAAAGGGAGAGAGAAGTCTCCTACCTGTTTGATGGCTTGCCTGACGACTTCAGGATCCATGCCGTGATTATTCATGACTGTTAGGAACGTGGTGAGCTGCAGAAAAGGACGGAAAATAGAAATCCAACAGAAAAAATAACAGCGTTGCTGTTGAAACCCCTAAGCCCGATTAAGTCAAGTTATCATCCACAAACTAGTAACATTTAACTCACCACTGTGACCTTGACCTTTGACTTTTTGACCCCCCAAAAAATTCCAACTTGCCTGTACCCAAGGACAACCCTCTTCTAAAGTAAGAAACCGAAATCATATTTCTAACTCAACTTATCATCCGGAAACCATTTCCCTCAACTCACCACGGTGACCTTGACCTTTCACCTTTAGACTGCCAAACCGACCCCGACTTGCCTGTTCCCAAGGGCAACCCCCTACTGAAGTTAAACACCAAAATCTCATTTCTAACTCAAGTTATCATCCAGGAAACTAAGTGGCCTGGACGGACGGATGCCTGAACAGATATCCTGATGGACGGATGCCGTAGGTGATGACAATTCAGTCCAGTTCTAGTCTTTTTGTCAATCCATCACTTGACAATTTTTCACGGATGTTCCAGTACTGGCAAAAGCTCAACAGCCAAATTTTGGGAAACACTGCTAACACAACTGAAATTGTGTTGCCCAAATCACTGTTTTTTGTGTCACAAACCTCAGAACATACCACGTCATTTGAGCAGTTTAGCACTCGCATTCAGAAATTATTGCACCTTCCTTCTATGGACTCGTGCACGAAGTACCCACTCAACGGTTAAAAACGCACAGCCGTCATGAAAAAATGCCATAGTTTTGTGCACCGTGACTTTCAAAATAAATAAGTCATGCATTCTTTGCGCAGTACATACGCGAACCAGCACGTGCATGCTTTGTGTCTCCCCTTACTGGAGCTCTCGATGGTGTTTACAAAGCGGCATCTACCGTTCACGCACACAGAACACTGACCTACCTGATCGATTAAGGATTCTACGGTTATATTCTGGCTGTCGTGTATGGTGAACAGACCGGCGACGTCAGTTTCCAGCATGGCAGGTACTGAAGAAAACAAAATTTGAGTCAAATATCAATAAATGTGAACTTTTATCGCTTCTGAGTCTCTCTCTGATCGGTAATGATCCTTCTCAGGTTCACCTACGAAAACTGTCTGAGTTTCTGAGTAATCTTAAGCTATTTTAATCTTAAAAGCTATTTGGAATACTTAATTTATGACTTAAAAAGTTTTCAGTATTACACCAGGCAAATGTCAAAATCGTTGATTTTCTTTATCAATCTGATGGTTTTCATAAAGAAATAACCTTCAACAAATTGACTCTTTGTCCAGAAGATTTGGAAATTTTTCATTTTTGTCAAAAAAATCCTTTATAGCTGCTCAAAAAGGCCATTACTTCTCATGTTTGTCTGCATGAGGAAAGAAAATAAATGATGTATGACTGAACTCATATAACATCTAGTCAAGTCGCCCAAGTACAACATGGATCAAGTACAAACCTGTAGTTGTGTGGGGTGGGGTGGAGGGGGGGGGGGTGTGGGTGGAGAGGGCGGAGGGTATGGGTAGATTGAGATGTTGGGGGCCCAGGGAGGGTCAATCTCTGCACTCAAAGGGCCAAAGATTCCAGAAGCCTTTTTTCCCATGCAAAAGTCCACAAAACTTTGTGAAGATAGTGCTTAAGTTTTACAGCACCCAGGAGAAAAAAAGCAAAGAGCTGCAGTAATAACTGTTCCAAAACACTACACTTGATTTTTGTTGTATCGAATGTATTGAAATTGGGGGGGGGGGGGGGGGGGGGGGGGGCAGCGGTGGCAAGACCAAGGGAAGCGTAGGCCCCCCCCAAAAAAAAAAACCCAGAGAAATTTGAAGTATGGATTGCATGTGAAGTTAATTTCAGGAAAGTAAAAAAATTGCTGACAAATGAGTATAAAACAATCATATTGTTCGTACATGTAAGTAGGGACCAGTACACTGTTCGTAACATCTTAATATTTTGAATAAGTAGATGAATTTTTTTTGCTTCTAAATGTTACATCCTGGGCTATATTTATGCAAAGTATTATATTCAATGATGGGTGTAAGTTTTAGCAAACCATATTTAAGTTATCAAACTTAAACAGTCCTCTGGTGTGATTTTTATTTTTCAAACTCTCGCCTGGTTTTGTACCACATGTCACAATTTTCAAGCAGGATAATCACTGCCATTTTTCAAGTTGATCCAATATCTGAATTGGAAAACAACAACTCTTAAAACTAGAAATGTGTTCGTGAACGAACACAAGCTGCTTCGTGTGTTTTTGGAAGGGCGAAATGATTCATTATGTCAATATTGTATCTAGCACATAATACTATAACAAGAAGCTTCAACTGAATCGGGCCTGTAGTTCTGTAGATCATGCATCATGATCATGAATGCCATCATGCATCCCCTTTGTGTTAACCTTTTTCACCTCCTTACAAATCCAACTCCTCCAACCCAGAACAACTGATCACAAGACCCACCCTTAACAACCAAAAAAGTACCGTGTGTTCATTATTGGAAAAAAAATGGCATAAAAATTTTACTTGCTGGAATCAAACCTTGACTCCTGATAACGCAATCCCGATGAAAATCTTCGGCACACATCTTCAGGTAGTGGTGTAAGTGTGTGCCAAGTCTTAAATCGATCGGATCTACGAAAGTGCCAAAGTGCACGCGCAGAACAGACATGTACAAAAGAAATAGCTAAAATCCCTTAATTTCTTCCATATGGGCAAAAGTGTGCATGGAAACGCAGAGAACAAAAACAATAGCTGCTTCGGCAGTGTACTGCCGCAGCAGCTAAATATTTGACGTCAAGTTTGATCCGGCTTACCAATCTTCGGCTGTAGTTTGTTCTTAATGATGTCGACAAGCATTTGGTAGATGTGAACTCCGAGATCGTTCATGACCTGACGGTACTCCGACAGGTCAAAGTTCCGAAGACAGTGCTCGTTCTGCCGGTGTGTGTTCTGACTGGAGAGGTTCTGGGAAGGACAGATGATGTATAACAGATGCATGTATAAGGTTAAAACGATGCTTGGACTCTTTCCATAAAATTGTTTCGTAAATTCAAGTGCTAATGGAAAATCCTTTAGACAACCAGTCACAAGATATAACTACTGCCTAACATTTGGTGTGGTTACCAATTTTTGCAGATTCAATATTGGGTTTTTCTCTTCATCAACATGTTTAAATTTTGTTTTGTTATAAACACTGGAAAAAAATTACTTGGGTGGGACTCAAACCCACGACCTCCTGCTTACTAGTGAAGACGTGTTGCCACTCAACCATCGAGCTTGCCAGGGTCAGTTGACTGGTTTGAATCTGATATAGCAGCGGGTACCACAACCTAACTATGCATCAGATAGAATTCGTGTCGGGGTTTGGTACTTTGATGGACTGAAGTGAACTGAAAATCTACTTTGTAAGTTCTGTTTTTGGTCTTGGTCTGGCTCCCTGACCACAGCATTGCTTTGTACTCACCTCTTCACCGCTGTACTGCATGAGTGTGTGCATCAACCGAATCGTGTTTGTCAGCCAGAAGGACACATACTCAAAGTCCTCAAAGTGATTCTGCCGAAAGATGAAAAACATTAACTTAAAAAAATCCACTTGAGAGTTAATTTGAAAATCTTAAATGTGCAGCATTAACATGCAAGAGGTGTACGTTACATTCAAGTCTTAAGAGTTCAAAACATAAACCATTCCTTTCTTTTAACAATAACATAATTAAATAAGGTTTCAAAAAACAAAAAAAACAACCTTTGAGTCAACCCAATTCAATTTATTATTGACCTAAGGAAAAAAAAGAAAAGAAAATTTTGACGAGAGCCAATGTGGCTCATCAAGCCGATGTTTATCTCTGGTTCCCACGACATGAATCGACCGAAATTATTTCCCCTGGATGGGATGGTAGTCCATCGCAGATTACTCTCCTGCTAAAGCTGGTAACCATTTATACTCCTGGATTGAAGGAACCAAGAGTGGGTAAAGTGGCTTGCCCAAAGACACAATATATAGCCAGTGGCAGGGTTTGAACCCCTGACCCTCTGATCATGAGTTACAAACCCTAACCACTAGGTCACACTCCCACACATATAATGCAAGAAATGTTGCATTTTATTTTTCAAAGTTCAAAACATAAACTATTAATTTGCTCTTACTGTGACGGTCTTCTTGATGCCATTGACCACACCTGTGAGAAGTGCTTTGACCTTCCGATCGTCGTTGATATCGTCAGCGTGACGTATGCACATGAAGATGATGTAAGCCGGTAAGCCCGGTAGATGACTCTCCGCATTCTTGGGATTAAAGTCTGGGGGAAACAAGATTTTAAAATACTGAAAGTGAAACTTGCGCGATCCCCCTGGCATCCTGGTAGTTTGTATAAATGTACAGGCAATTAGTAAGGACAATTTTCAGTGTACCTTTAGACCAAAATGGAATGTATCATACCTAGCAATAGGGATTAGCAAAAAACTTAGTGAGAAAGGTAGAACAAGGTTACTGTTTTTGTATTGGGCAATGTGGAATGAAGGTGGAAGCCTGGAATGGAAGTTGAACATGTGTTAGGGCATGGTGATATGTCATCAGCAATGATCTATTGTTCATGATAAATATTCCTTACGACCTTCCATGGAAACAGCAAACTCCTTGTACATTTGAACAGTGCATTTATTACAGCAAGAAAAGAGAACAGAATATACTACAAGCTCACTCTACAGGTTTCCAGATAACAGCGAAAGAAATTGGTGGGCATGCAGCCGTGTTAGTCAGGCACTTGTGTGTGTTATACGTTTTACGACACTAGAGAAAGAAATTGACATGTACCAAAAGGCCTGTGCTCTGTAGCCGCGGTGTCGCTAGGGACCAGTGAGCTGGCCTAGTGTATTGTGTGCGTTACAACTTTATCGGCACTAGAGTAAGAAATTGACATGTACCAAGGCCTGAGCTGGGTAGCTGCGGTACCAGCAATAACCACCCATCAAGTTTTGTTGAGATTGATGACTGTACTTTCAGTGAACCTTACCAAAATGGAACTTTCTGTCTTTCATATACATACGCACACGTACCACAGACACACACACGGACACACAGAAGGAATACGCGATCGCAATATCCCCCTGTATGGCTAAAGCCAGGGGGATAAAAATTCCTTCCTTAATAATTGTACTTGTAAGTTAATTGGATGATCTTTGATCAACTACTGGTTGATATGTGATGTAACTTACTCTTGGAAAGTTGGGGAAAAAATTACGGTTGGAAGCTTCCCAAATGAAATCCTTAGGAAATTTACAAATTAACTTCACTAAAAGTGAAATATGTTCATTAGTCTTGCTTCTAACACCTAAATTTTGATAATTTTTGCAGGTACAATATATTATATACTTTATCTCAACATATGGCCATGCGACTTTTGATCGGTTCTGTGCTGGAGGGTCACATTAATAAAAATATACTAGACATATGTTTGTGGACAAACATAGGGCTGTTTCGGTAGCTTTTTGTGACATGTGACATGTGTTCCATCAACGAAGGATGTGTAGTTCTGTTTATAATAAATGGTGGCATATAAATGTAATATGTGATTCCATTCGCATAGGGCTTTGAATTATGACGTCACATGTCACGTGATGACGTCATGATGACGTCACATAAAGTTTCATCTATTACTATAATATTATGGTAAAGAACAACTTAGCCAGAGCAAACATCGTTGAAAGCAAGTTCGCGTCTTTCACCAATTTTAAATTACAAAGCACTTCCGGTTTCAACCAGAAGAAAGGGTCACGTGATTTATTTGCACATATTTAAAAATGAAGACCCTCGCTAATTCTATCAATTCCCGCAAAAATCATGTTCAGGTCTCGACCACCTAATTTTTTTTTCTTCCTATAACACATTCCGGTCTAGCCACATACCAAGTTTCAACCCAGTCAGACTTACAGTTCTGTAGATATAGGACTTCATAATATGCACGTAAATTTTCAAAAATCAATAAAAAAAAATTAGGTGATGACGTCATTATGACGTCATAGTCTTGGCATAATTTTTATATGAGGGTCTTCCTTGGCTGTAACATTGATGACGATTCTAGATCGCCAAGTTATAGAAATGGTGGCTTGAAAACGTGTACAAAGTCAATGGGCTAACACGTGTACTAAATTAACGGGCTAAAAACAAAATCCCACTGCAGAAAAATTGCACCTTTAAATTTGTAATTTGCCTTTGAACTGAAACATTTTTATGAAATATTACTTGATATTCTGACCCTTAGGAATATGTTCAATCGAATGACAGCGCGAAAAAAATACGATTTCTCTTTCCTTCTCATAGTAATTCTCGGCTGAAGTTCAGAACTACTCAGTAAGATATTAGTGTTGTATAGGAAAAGACTTGTGGAAAATCCCACTGCAGAAAAACTGCACCTTTAAATACGTAACATAGGGCTTTTCGGCATTACGATTTTTTATTATACGTCCCTGACTATGCGCATGCACGAACAAAAAATCTGTCAAAGTTAGCCGAAAATCGGCTAAAACGGTCACTGTGATATGATGTGGAAAGGATTTGACCGCGGCAACACGTGCTCTGCAGGCTGACTGACATTACATGTACGATGTACATGTACAGTATGTGCGTAACGTACGTGTATGTACATATAGACGTTCTGTGCATGTTTTAGAGCAGATGTATTGTCAACCTGAAGTTTTAAGCGTGCGCAGGGCATGTCCGAGTTCGCTTATTGCCTTGAAGCTTTGAAATGTGTTAGACCTACCCTTAAATCGACAATTAAAGTAAAAACTAACATAATAACTGCCATGGTTGATTTTTCAGGAATTTTCAAATGAAAAAGGGTCTTTTTATTATAACTTCCGGTCTGATGACGTCATTCGCCTAAAACTTTGCACACGTCTTAAGTGGATCAAGGTCATCATATACACCAATATTTAGGCGATTCCGACAAACTTCGCCACAGACATCTATTCAAAATACATTTTTGCAAATTTTTAACCTGTCGCTAGAGGGCGCTCGAAGATTGCATGACGTCATTGGTAGATGATTTGAAGAATACTTTTAGCCAAGAGACTAACACCGTTAAAAGCAAGTTCATCGCTATTACCATTTTTAAATAATAAGCCACTTCCGATTTTGGCCTTTTTCGACCGGAAGCAAGGGCCACGTGATTTCACGCACACTAAATGAAATAAAGACCTCAACCTACTCTACCACTTGCCGGTAACAGAATGCTGCGGACGCGTACGGTTGATTTCTTATGCATTTTTAAATATTAAAAGTGTCACAATTTAATTGCCTATAAATACACACCGGATGACGTCATCATGACGTCATCATTACACAATGTTGTTTGAATTAGGGTCTTTGCTTGGACAAAGATTGGTGCAAATGAATTACTGGCAAAGAGTCAAAAATGCCCTTTGAAAATCGACAATTTTTTTTTGATTTCTGTGTACAAAGTCTATGGGAAAAATTAAATATTCAAAATTCTATAATAAATTAGTCGATGACGTCACGATGACGTCAATGTTCGGCACACAACTTCAGATGCTGGTCTAAACATGTGCCAAGTATAAAGTCAATCGGATCGATTTTAGTGCCCAAGTGCCGGTGACAAAAAAACGTGTACAAATGCTATGGGCAAAATGACTGAAAAAGAAAGAAAAAAAAAAGAAAAAAAGAAAAATCTTAACGAAAACAAAGGCTGTTTCGGCAAAAGTGCCGAAACAGCCAATAATCCCACAATGCATTCACACAATGCATCAACATTAATCAATAAGACATGACATTTCACACTGACCTATGATGATGGTCTTGATGATTTTAACGTCGTCCTCCTGCCTATACTCCAGCATTCCCAGGATCTCGCGTTTTTTCATGCTCACGATGGCCGGCGCTATCTGCCTACGCTTCCTGTTGCTGATGTTGGCCGGCGCTGAGTGGTGTGATGCAGCGGTTGTTTTGCTTAGTGACGTTGGGGTAGCTGAGGGAAAAAAACACAAACAGTAACCCCCAAAACTTGGTTGGTTGTTGGCAAGTGGTCTAAACTTAATAACAATACCTAATAACAATGGGCATCACTTAGGTCTGACTAGGGTTAATGCATACCACAAACATATTATGTACATGATCATGTCATGAGTAAATACGGTTTAATCTCACTCTCTCAAAGTCTCATTTACATATAGGCACTGCCAGTTTTCCTTTTCCTTTTTCCCTTGGCAGCCTAGCTAGGTCTAACAAGTGACATTACTTACTTGCATCTGTTGCATCAAATTCAACAAGGAATTGATGCACCTCCTTCATGTCGGGTCTCTGACGGTGATCTGCATCCCAGCACCTCGCCATGAGCTCAGCCAGACTAGTATCAGGGCACTCAGTGGGGATTTCAAGACGCTCTTTTTTCTTAACAACAGCCAGGTAAATCTCAAACTGCCCCCTCTTCTCTTCATGTGGAACCTTGCCAGTAATCAGTTCCCAAAGGACTACAGCATACGAGAAAACATCTGCCTTGGCTGTGACTTTGCAAGCTTTCCTGGTTTGACCGTCTACCTCTTGTCGCTCACTGACGCCCATGGCTTCTGGTGCCATCCAGGGATAAGATCCTCTCACGGTGTTAGTGGATGCAGTGCAATTGTACTTTCTTGCTGTGCCCAAGTCACAGATCTTCAATGTATCATCAGCTGTAATAACAGAATTGGGTGACTTCACATCACCATGTTGGTAATTCTTCTGGTGGATGTACATCAGAGCCTCGGCCCCTTCCTTAGCCCATTTCATCCAAACTGGCTTCTTGTATTCTTGCCAGTTTCCGCGGTTCTGAGCAATCACGTACCAGAGGGAGCCTTTCTCAGCCAATTCTGTCACAATGAAAAAACCATCCGGAGGGAACTTCTGTTTCACAAGTCCCAAAAACTTGATGACATTTTTGTGCCGCAGTGCTGCCAGAATTTTGACTTCCTCCTCCCGGAATTTATTGCAGCTTTTTGCAGCCACCATGCGTTCTGCACCTTCGTGGGTCCACAACGCCGTATATACCGTACTGTTGCTGCTTTCCCGACTACCAATTGGCTTTAAATGTGCCAATTCGCTTTCAGGAATTATATTATAACCTTCTTCTTCCATTTCGGAAAGGAGTATCTCTGTTGTGTTGAACAGTTTTTATACAATCGAAGTACCCATAACATAAGTTATAACAATAACTTATTGGAGTGTCATGGCCTAGCGGTTAAGAACACCAGACTCATGTTCTGGTGTTTCAGAGGCAACGGTGACGTGGGTTCGAGCCCACCGGCGAACACTTGTGCTCTTAAGCAAGGCACTTAACCATTATTGCTTCGTCCTTTGGATGGGACGTTAAGCCGTAGGTCCCGTGTGTTGTATAAATGCACGTAAAAGAACCCAGTAAACACTTATCGCTAAGAGACAAACACTTATCGCTAAGAGACAAACACTTATCGCTAAGAGACAAACACTTATCGCTAAGAGAAGGGGTTTGCCCCGGTGTTTCTGGCCTCCTGTATAAACTCCCACGTGGAGTATTTAGCAGTAGAACCAACCAAGAACCAAGAACACTCATGCATTTTCACTGCGAAGTGCGAAGTTCAAGCTACTACTGGGAATTCCCCGATGATCACATATAACTGGTCCCGCGCCACCCTGAGAGGTTTTTGAATGGTAACGAATAACCAGGGTAACATGGTTACCAGTGATATTGTGACGCTACGTCACACGACTGTTTTTGTGGGGAATATCGCAGCAGGACAGAGCGCGTCGTAAAACTAAAATGTAATTCTTGTGTTTTCATTCCGTCATTCATTCTTTATTTCCACATAATTAGTGTCTACGGATATGATGGATGGGGGTCCCCATAAAGCAACTGCTTGTCGAGTAGGGATCCCCATTAATATTAATTAACAATTGTATAAACACTAAATACATATACAATAAGACAATAAACTAAACCAGAAAGGACAGTAAGTCTTATAACCCTGTGAGAAAATGAATAGATATTGTAACGATTCCGGCTTGCCTAATATTAGTCTGGGCTAAGACCCAAATAAAATCGGGTCCCAGTTATCTGCCGGAAGCTTGAGTGAAGAGTCGATGAGTGAGACGGGATTCTTGGAGGGGATGGGGGAATTATTTACAAACGACCACAAGATAATGAACAATAAAAGATGTCCACAAGGAGTAATTCTTTCAACCGATCAAAACGGTAAACTCAGTTTATTTAATCTTCTTGAGTAAACTTGAACATCTTTGGGACAGCGCCCTCTATTATAGGAAGTAAGGAAATTATAATGAAGCTGTGGTATGAGTTGCTCAGTGGTAGCGTGCGTAGCGTATTGATTCGATGGCCGCTTTTCCTGTAATCTTTTATACAATCTCAAAATATTACAGCGCATAAAGTAGTTTCTTATATTTTGCCTAAAGTGTCGGAATTTCCACACACAAAAGCGCTCGTGTGGTTTTCCGCCGACAAAGCCCAATTAATAGCGCAAGCCTGTACACGGTTGCTTGCTTAATCAGTGCACGCAAACGTGGGGCAATAAATAGGTCTTGAGGTCTTGTCTTGAGGTCTTGCGCGGCCTACTCCAAAAGGGAACAGAACCCAAATACTCGGAAATCTGTGGAATTTATAGGCACAGTGCGGACGCGCTCTGCACACGCGTATGCGCGCGGCACGCACATCTCATACAACTGCAGTGATTGGCTAAATAACACAACAATCTACGGTAGCTTGTAACAGCACAGCAGTACGCATGCGCTGGCTCACAGTTGTGTCGTACGGTAACGTACAGCATGTACGTTCATTCAGTAAACCTGTGCATGTGGCAACAACACAACATGAAGTCAGCGTAGGCACTGCTGAGAGTCAAGCCCCGAGGAATTATGACTGCAACAGGATCAAAGAATAAATTCAACAAATATTATTAGATTAACTTAAAGGTTCCAGCTAAGGAAAAGGTCAGTTGTATACAAAGTTTCAAGCACTAAAATACTAAGCTAGCAAGGAATAATTGTGATATTAATAAGCATCCTGGCGATTTTCGCCACACTACCCCCCACTTAAAATACAAATGCGTCCTCGCATTTAAGAGCTGAACAATTATTCCAAAAATGTTAAACTTGAGACACTTCAACCAATGAACAATTTTAAATTATTTCGGTTGGAAATATTCAAACTTGTCTTCAACAATAAAACAAGAAAAACAGTTTGTAAGCAACAATAAAATGATAAAAGTTTGTTCTCAACATCATACATAAAGAATTTTGTCCACAACATGTAAGTAGAAATACTTCGCTAATTACATTTTAGTTTCTTCCTCAACCATTTCAACAATTCTATCTACATATTTACGACCATTGGGGGAGCTGAACTTAACAAAGCTACAAAAATTAATCGCAATCATTTCACGTTAGATTTAATATTGAATCCCTACTTACTTCACCAAATAAATATTGTGCTCAGATTGCGAATCCTGTCTTGTCGAAACGTGCACTCTAGATCATCCCATCCATAGGGAAAATTAACCTATAAATTTCAACAGAAAAACTTACTTTAAGTCTTTCAACTTTGCTGACTCAAACATCGGAGCCAACTCCAGAAGTATCAAAAGATCTCTCCTAACCTACATGACCTAACGGAATTGATCTAAGGTATCCATAAACTATCAAAATACTGAAGATATATCTGTTTTTGACAGCTGACAAAGGGACAGTGTCAATATCTCGGGTCGATTTGTAAACAAGAAAAAGACAGGTCTGATTCCTAGACTCAAAATACTATTGCATTACTAGTATACTCACACCTAGCTGCAAAAGGCTCTGCCTAATGATAGATGAGATAAGGATTGTGGGTAAATACCAACCAATCACAGGCTAAAGATTCCTGCGGTTACCATGACGTAGCTCCCAGGTCAGTCAATAAACAACTGGAAGTCCCGAAGGCGGTAATTTCGAAGCACAAAATATTTATCAACAGTGAGTATAGGATTTAACGCGTAACATGAACAGTGTAAAACATGCGATTTCAACTCAACGTAACACAGAATTCACACTTCTTTTACCGATTATTAAGCCTAAATTTCCAAACAAACATCGTTAATTCAGTAAATATAGCCTACCGTCATGACCGTAATTAATGAAATGCGTTACTGCTGCAGACTAGGGCCAGTTCTACCGGGATTTAGTGTTCGTTTTCGCCGGCTGAGGACTTGGCGTAGCCGACCTGCCATTGCGGTCGGCCGAAAGCAGCATTAGCCGGCAGTAGGTATTCATTAAATCTCACGGAGTAGATCCTTCCGTCGGGGAAGTGAGCTGCCTCAACCACCTGGCGATAGATGACTCCGTGCTCGAGCTGGTGTAGGCTGTCGTTCTGTTGGTTGACAAGGCCTCTAGCATAGGCCTCTCTCCTCATCGTGTGGACTTCGGCCCCTGCGGAGCTTTGCGGTGGACCGCTCCTCAGGTAACGGGGTGCGCTTGTCACTGGGGGCTTGCTTGTGGATGGTGGTTTGACGGTCGGGTTGGCGATGGTGGCACCGGTGTCTTGCTTGTGCTGGTCTCCTTGGATTTGGGCCTGCTTGCTTGCCTGGTCTTGGTCTTGGACTTTCCCCTCATCCGGGAAAAGGGTCTTGTCCGGGGTAGATGGCGCAAACTCCTCTCCGGAACTCTCGGATACGTTACACGGGGAGGATGGGGGTGAAGGTGTGGCAACGATCGATGAGATTGGTGACAACCTCGGCAGCGATATGGTGGCCATCTCCTCCAGGATTCGCCCGACGACCTCTTTCTTTTCTTGCTTTGGCGATGATGCCGTCTTGCAGGAGCTTGTTCCTTGTGTCTTGACTAGTGGCTCCGGTCGATTGGCTGTCTTGTTTCTTTCGTCTTTCTGTAGGCCTACTTGTACGACCTTGGACTTCACGTGCACTCGTGATGGGCGGGCCGGGCGTGATGTTTGCCGGGGGGCCACTTCGGTTTTCTTTCTGCAATCTCTTGGGTGCATCTTGTGCTGTCTCATCATGTGTTGTTGGAAATGTGCAAACTTTGTTGCCGGGAAGGTTGCCTTGCATAGGGAGCATTCCAGTGGCTTTGGAACCTCCGACCTTCCCCAACCCGACTTTTGACGATTCATTGTGGATCTGGCAGCTTGAATGTAGTCACGCTCTTGCAATGCTCCTGTCTCTTGTCGATGTCGAATATAATAATGATGATGATGCATGCGCGTATGCAGTACTAGGACATATACCGGCGCGCGCATCTCAATTTTTGTCAAATTTTCTTGTCATCCCATTTTGGCGCCCAATTGCGTGAAGTCACTATTCGTGCGTGGCTTCATCTGCCACCGCTCTCGGTCAATATATACCGTGATTTCTTTAATTTCTTTTTTTTTGGGGGGGGGGAACTCTCTTTTCATTATTCTTGAATCAAAATCTTTTTTCCAATTAATTTGATGAATCTATTTTCCAACAAAGAAAACAACATTGAAATGTAATGCTGCATTTATGATGCTGTCTTTCATCCATCTTGGATCACAATTTTGGAAGTCAACTGTCTTCTCCTGGCTTGTAGACCATTTCTTCTTTAAAAATTAATTCTTGAGCAACTTCTCAAATCACTTTTCTCGCTGTTTATCACAGTTTCTTGAAATTATACACTGCAATACTGGACTCTCACATCACATACATCAATGCGGCTCTTCCGCAAAACAATGAGGGCGCCCTTCATAAACATTTTTGCTCCGGTGCGTATTCCCATAACGCACGAGCACAACAACAGAGTCCAGAACTTGATTATGGTCCTTCTACGTAGGTCAAAGGCGTTAGGCATTTTAACATCTTGAATTTGCTTTTCTGTGATGAATGTCGCCACATTCTCTTGGGCTTTAGAATAATTTGTTCATGGCCAGTAAACAAATATTTTCTCCCAAATCTGTGTCACTTGTTCATCATCTTTGTAGCGTCATGACGTCTTTCGTTACACTTCATCCACTCTTGCCCTTGTATTCTCCATAATCTCTTGCAATAACTTGATTAAGTTCTCCGTAGTGTTCACTACACTACTAACTACATTTACACCTTGAATTCCTCTTGAATTCTTGTCTTGTACGTCAGCATCATCTTAAAGTTCTTGCATCATTAATACAGCAACATATCTCATCTTGAATATTCTTGAATTTAATTGTTAATTCTTCACCATGAAGCTTCGCCTTTATTTCTTGCTCGCATGCTAATCTCTATATCGCTCTGGTCGTCGGACTTCTCGGCGACTACGTG